TCTTAGTAGGTGAAAGTGTGTGGTTCTTGCATATATATGCAAGATATATGCATCTTAACTAAATATATCTGATATTGTATCAGAGTTGTCCACTCATAGAATTAGCTTTGTTGGCTTATCTACATTTGTGCCTGTTGGTCAGAAGCTATTACTAATCAAAATATTTTGGGGTTATAGAATGAATTAGAGACAGTTAACAAGCCACTCAACACGATTCATGTCATTCCTTTCTAGTTTTTGGTATAATAGTGTGTTGTGCTAAACAAAATTATAGAATATTTTGTTTATTGAAAGGACAGTGAATGTGGTCTATTGTTATTCATTCATTCAATCAATCAATCAATCAATCAACAAATATTTATTGAGTACCTCTGACCCAGGCCTTGCATTAGACAGTGGAGAGAGAAATGTTTGCCACTGTGGTTGGATTTTGCCTTAACCAGTATCAATAGTAGCAATTGAAATGCGAACTATATGAATTCATGAATTCAGATGTTTGGGCACCAGAGAAAGCTGTGTTACAGAGTAACACTAACAGTGCTGACTAAGCCCTTATTCTGTACATTATTTCTTTGAATCCCTCAAGAAGGCTGAGGTCAGAGGCAGAGTTATTATCCCAGTTTTGTAGAGGTGGAAACTGTGACTCAGAGTAAACCGTGTTCCAAAGGTCACCTAATTAGTTGATGATGAAGTCAGGATTTGAATCCAGAGCACCAACCATGCAAAACTGCCTTAAAATAATACCATTGCCTGGGCTTCCACTTTCCATGCCTTGTAAGAAATGTCACAAGGCTATTTTAATTAATCTTTGGCTAAATATATTGGCAGCTCTCGCCTCCATTTCAACTCTGGGCATCTTTTGGTTTCATAGTGACCATTTCAGAAGTCTAAGAAGGATTAGCAAAGAAGAATAGAAACCTGACTTTAGGGATCCCTGGGTGGCGCAGCGGTTTGGCGCCTGCCCTTGGCCTAGGGCGCAATCCTGGAGACCCAGGATTGAATCCCACGTCGGGCTTCCGGTGCATGGAGCCTGCTTCTCCCTCTGCCTGTATCTCTGCCTCTCTCTCTCTCTGTGACTATCATAAAAAAAAAAAAAAAATCCTAACTTTATTATCAGTTTACTATATACCAGTCATCAAGCTTGACATCCCAGAGACTAAGTTGCTGTGGCATATAGATGGAGAGAAAAGCACAACCACCTGCCTCTGGGCTTTTTTTCTCACCCATCCCCCTACTCCCCTCCCCTCTGGCAACCTCCAGTCTGTTCTCTGTATTTAAGAGTCTGGTTTTGTTTTGTTTTTTTTTTTGTTTTGTTTTGTTTTGTTTTGTTTGTTTTTGCCATAAAAGCAATGATGAAATCCAGAAATATTTACAGGGCACTTGCAATATGCCAAGCTCACGAAAAATTCAGTTCCTAATCTAGGTCAGATCTTACCGTCCAGTGGGAGAGACTAAACAGATGTTTTCACTGGCAACATGCTTTGATAAGGGAAACTCACATGAAGAACAACTAATGTTAGGTGAAGAGTACAGGATGGGAGGAATTTGAAAGTCGAAGATTGGAGAGATTACTCAGGTGAAGAAGAGGGATAAAGGTTCCGTCAAGAGTGCACCCTATATAATGGTTCAAAGTCTAAAGTGGTTCCGGATTTCTAGGGACTGAAATAATTCTGTATCACAGAAGGGCAACAGGTGTGCAGCAGTGGCCAGAGAAAGGCTGGCTGAGAAGTCAAGAGGAATGAACTTTTTCATCCCAGTCCTTGTTAGGAAGCTTCACTGAGCAACGTTCATTGAATGAGGTTTTGCTAAGCAGTTTGGATTTTAAGTGCAGATGTGGAAAACAGATCAGGGTTCAGTCATTTTATCCATTTTAACCGTGACTTCCCCTTCCATTCTTTACAATGTTGGAAATTATTCTTTTGCTTGGGAATATTTTTCAATATGTACCAGGCTTTATAAACGGCTTCCCTGCTGTTCCTGCATATTTACGATGTAAATTACAGTCAGGCGGCTCCAGTTAAAGCCCCAGGTCTCCTATCCTCTTAATCTCAGATGAGTCGTGCGTTCATTGATACACGCATTGATCCAGGAAAACCAAATCTCTTCCCCCACTTCATCGATTCTACAGATTCAAATTTCTGTAACTTCAGTTAACAATCCACGAGAGAGATACACTCACAGAAAAGTGCCGGGAACCACTTAATTCAGCAAGACCGTTCAAAACCCTATACTTAGTTTCTAGCCTAAATGTCCAGCTATTCTGAGAAGAAGAAGAAGGAAAAAAAAAAAAAACACACAGAAACCGCCTCTCTGGCGTACCCAGATGGAGGATGCCGAAGTCCTGCTCGTTTTTTTCCTCCTCTGCCAACATAAACAGGGTGGAGTGGCTGGAAAGGGAGGCCAGGAGCCCCAGAGAGAGGGAAACCGTGTAGCAGCAAAGTGACAGAAGCGCCTCCCCTGGGCGGCCTCAGGCCCTTTGCAGCCAAGACCTCTCCCCTCGGCCTGGCGCCTGCCCCGCGCGCTCTCCGGGGACTCGCAAGGAGGCAGGACCAGGGAGTGCGTCCGAGTGTGTTGAAGAGTTGAAAGAATTTGCGCCAAAAGTAAAGCAGACATCCACTTGCTTTCTTCCAGCTCGTCTCACCTCTGCTCCTTTCTTCCAAGTCCTGGTACAGGCGGGGGATCCGTGGTTCCCGGGCGCGCCCCCAGCCGCAGCCCCAGCCCCAGCCCCAGCACCTCGGCTCCGGCTGGGCTCCGGCTGGGCTCCGGCTCCGGGCAGGCCCTCCTCCCTCCTTGCACCTGACAGGGACCATAAATAACCGGGCTCCCGGTGTTCCCAGCCGAGAACAAAGTTGAAAGTTTGCCTGCAGCTCCCTGCCACTCCCCGCCGGGGCCACTTCTTTGTTTTCTTCTGTTTTCCCTCCACCTGGTTGGCCGCGTCTTCATTCCTGCCGGAGAAGAGTCACCTCCTAAGGGGACGCAGCACCCCGCTCGCCCGCCCGCGGGCTCTCCCTGGGTTTAAGGCTGTCTCGGTTACCCGGTTAGGCACCGGGCATTGGTATCAAATTACCGAAAGTCTACACTGGAGCAGTCCTCATATTTACATACAAATAACTCAAGGGCTCGCATTTATGTCACCATTCGGTCCTGCTAGAGGCCTGCCAGCGGAGTTCTTGGTCCAATCAGAAGGAGCTTTAAAAGGATGTCTGCAGAGTGACCAAGAGGGTCTTCTCAATTAAGGGTAGCCAGGTTTTGCTCTTTTTTATTTTATTTTATTTTTTTCTGGTTTGATACATCGAAAATCTTTGAACTCCACCGATGAGTAGAAAAAGATGTGTACTTCTCCGACGACCCACAAGGAGACGGAGATGCTGAGCGGAGCCCGGCGGCGGTGAAGACGGTGGAGACAACCCAGGAATCGGTGTGTTTGGGCTGATTCCGAGGTGCATTCTAAAATCACGGCTTAAGGAATTCCTGGAAACATCAGGAAAACATTTGATCGGCCCCGCCTGCTGGAAATGGCTTTACCGCGGAGTAAGCTCTTTCTTTAAGTCCTACTTGGTGTGTGTGTTTTTGTTTCATAGGCAGTGAAATGTGCAAATAGCACAGCTGTGAAGAGTTACTTAAAATAATCTCTCGGTGCTGGGGAGTAGTAGAAAGCAGATCTGTTTATTTTTTTTATATTTGCAAAAACAGTAGTTGACAGGGTATTTTTAGACTTGATTGGTAGTTTAAAAGCTAAGCTCTTGTGGTTTCCTGGGTTTAAATGAATGGAAATTATAAACGGTACTCAATGAAGGAATTGGAAAATATAGCTGGAACAGATGAATCACTTACCTTTGAGAAAACATAACGTACACGCTTTTGAAATCTCTCTCTCGGCCAGCCAAGCTGGTGTCCAGAAAGGGAAGGAGAGTCATAAAAAGGAGACAGGCTCGCCTGTTTGCGGAACGAACTTTTCCACAGAATGTGCTACATTTTGAAAAGGGATGGGAAACGTCCCAGAGGGCAAAAGGCATTTGAAAAACCTGCTCTGTCACTCTTGGAATGTGGTTTTTCCGTGAGGTCATGCTATGCACATGTAGCCGGTAAAAGTTTTACGGAATTAACTCTTTGTATTGACGGGCCAAGAGCAGTTTATATAATCCTCCTTTCGAACTGCTGGTGTCTCACTCGAGCTCCTTTCCAAGAAGAGTTCCAGCCCTGGGGCAGCTGGGCTGAGCTGCTCCTGTGATGGGTGCAGGAACAGTTCGAAATGGATGTGTTTCTAGGGCCACCTGGGTGGCTCAGTGGGTTGAGTGTCTGCCTTCGGGTCAGGTCGTGATCCCGGGGTCCTGGGATCGAGTCCCGCACTGGGCTCCCCGCAGGGAGCCTGCTTCTCCCTCTGCCTATGTCTCTGCCTCTCTGTGTGTGTCTCTCATGAATAAATAAATAAAATCTTTAAAAAAAAATTTGATGTGTTTCAAAGTTCTCCAGTTAAGCAGAAACAGCTCAGATTAAAATGACTTGCTAGTTTCTTACAGATGTCCTGAACTGAAATCCTGCGTGTGAGAACATTAAAAAAAAAAAAAATCCACTCCCTTCCCATATCCAATTTCCAGAATAGTAATAGAGAGGTGGCTCTTATTTTGCAATCCACGTCCATTCAAATAGCTGCCCTCGGCGTGGCGGCGTGGCGAGGCCAGGAAAGCAAACGGACAAAAAAGATCCACCTTTCGAGTCAGCCGGGGCTTGAGGGGGGAAATCCGATGGGGGAAATGTCTTAAAGTTGGTGCTTCATCCCAGGTGCTCCTTCGCTACTGACGTTCACTCTTGAGATCCTGAACTAACCTCACGTCTGCTTTTTCCTTGTAAATGGCAGTAATGAGTATTGTCCAGCGGGCGTGGGAAAGCGAATGTGAGGAATGGGTGATTTGCTGATGACCGAAGGAGTGGCTCTCTCTACAACGAATGCGTTCTCCAAAGGGAAGCTTCTGATTCTGGCTTGCTTTGTCCCTCGGCAGGTGAAGATGCCATGACAGGGGACACGGACAAGTATCTGGGGCCACAGGACCTGAAAGAGCTGGGCGATGACTCTCTCCCCGCCGAGGGCTACATGGGCTTCAGTCTCGGGGCCCGGTCCGCCAGGTATTTTATTGCTGCTCTTCTTCGCAGATAATTGAATACGACCATGATCTGTCATAAGCCAAAATCATTTTCATTTTTCACATTATCCCCCAGTGTGCTCTTTGGATGAAGGTGCAAAGTTGGTGGAATGTTCTCAACCCTGGTGCACGTGTTCCACCGTTTTCTTTCGTGGCTTTTTCAGTCCTCGATTGTCCGTGATTGAACGTGTGGAGTGTTTGTTCCCACGCTGCCGTCATGCTTCACGCGTGATAGTGGAAGAGCTCAGAGCCCGGGTGGCCTCCACGTTTCCAAATTAAATTGTGTGCCGTGTCGAAAGAGAAATCTAATTTTCCAATAAGGACAATACAGTTGTATTGATGGTTCAGTATTCTCTCTTTGTCACTGAAAGAGTAATTCATGATTGAGACTTAAAAGAGAGCATTCTTGAAAAAAAATTGCATATAGTTTATTACAATTGTCTACCAAATATTTGGGTGTCTCCTCTAAAACTATGCCATTACTTTGTTTACAAGGGACATGTCAGGAGTGTTACATGACTTCCCCAAAGTCACAGACAGGAATGGCCCCAAATTCAGTCCTGAAAACCAAAGTGTAAAACTTTTGCCTGGGAAAAACCTTGGCTCCAACTTACCTGACACTGCTTAAGTGAAACAGGACCTTGTCCAGAATTTGGGGACTTCTTTTCTCCTGGTTGGTTGAACAGCATGTTTGCTGACAGTCAAGTTATTTTAAAGCTAATAATTAAACTTTTCTAAGCCAGAGCCCTGGGGACATTTTCCTATAGTTTAAGGATCTGTTGTAAAACGTTTCATTGTCTAATGGCACTTCCCACAAAGTTAGCCTGGGAATCGACTCTCAGGGTGAGGTGGCCAGTTTAGATACTGAATTGATTTTTTCTTGCAGTTAGTCTTTTTATTAGTGGAATTTGGACCCTCATGGAACTCCACAGAATTTTTGCTTTTTAAATTTATTTATAAAAATCCTTAAAGTTTTATTGTAGCAGGTATCATTAATAAGAAGGGGGACATAACTTTTTAAAAACACCACATGTTTCAGGTAGTCACACAAGAGCCACAAGTTACAATGGAAAGTATGCAGAATCTCAGGAGAAAATTCCTTTAGAGGCTTAATAGCTTTTGCAATCCAATAACTAGCTGATTCTCTTCCTCAAATCATATGTAAAAGATACATTTTGTGAATCAATCATTTGTATATAGAAAATTGTAGAGGCTGACATCTAGTGAGAGATGAAACCAGCATGTTGTCTCTCATAACTTCTCTCAAGGCAGTTCTAAGGCTTTCACACTTCTGGTTTTGATTGCACTGTTATTATTTGTTGCTATTATATGTAACTCATTTTTTTTTACATTGGCAACTCATGTTATGCTCAGAGGCAAATCTGAAAAAAAAAATCTGTAAAGCCAATATATTTTTTAAAGTATTGTTGGAATATTACCAAATACAGTATTCTGAGTGTAACATTTAAAAGGAATACATTAAATGTGTAACTCATTCACCACAACATTTTTTTCTTTTTTCCCTGTCTGATTTTTTGCTTTCTACTTCTCCTGTGTTTTTCTAAAAATACCTTAATTAGTCCCAAGATCAGGTAAGAAGATATGTCCCTTTTACAGTGTTTTTCTGCCCTTCCCTGACTCATATTCTCATTTTTATTTTCTTCAGCATTGTGCTGTGCTGTGCTGTGCTGCAATGTGCTTTTTTTTTTTTCCTGCTCAGTTAGAAAATCAATTTTGTAATTCTGAGAAAATTAGCAAGTAACTAAATGTTTGACAAGAAATGTTACTAATGTAAAATTGAATACTTAAAGAATCTCTTTCCTTTAACAAAGTTTGTATAGTGCATGAAGTAACTGCAGAACTCTCCAAACTGGGTTTGAAGAAAAAGTTTTGATTTGAAAAGCAGTTTGTTTGCTGGTGGCTGTTTTATTTGACTTGTGCTAGGTACATTGGTATAATTTTAGACTTCTGAGGCATGTGTTTTTCTAATACTTCCTGTATTTAACACTTAGGGTATACTGATGGCTACAAATAATATAGTTGACCTTAGTTCAAAACAATTTCATGCCTTCCAGATCCCCATGCCAATAATATCTAGTTTTGGTAGCTGAAAGGATTTCAATGTATTAAGGATTCAGAGTGAAGCTTGATGGTCATAATGACTCCATCTGTCTAATGTAACTTGGTTGGGAAGAGTGAGGAGCAAGTTAAACATCCTGTAAAATGAAGACCTCTTTAGGTTTTTCCATGGACAGCACCCGGTTCTAGGCTCTGTTCTTCACTTGGCAGTCATACAAAAGTTAAAAGAAAGGATATTTTTAAAATATTAATGAATCTTAGATATATTTAAAAACTAAAGTTAAAATATATAACAATTTTTTAAACACTTAAGTGATTGTTCACATATACTCTAAAGCTATTCTTACATGCCACCAATGTCAACATATGCAGTGGGAACCAGAATTTTCATAAATGAATGTGCAATGCAGAGAGTGGAACCTTCTGGTGCTTCCCACCCCACATCACTGGGGCAAATAGAACCTTGCTATGAGTACCTAAGAAGTTATGCTCACGGTGTAGCCTTCAGCCACATAAGACTATTTACATTACAATTAGTAAAAAATTAAATAAAATTCAATTCAACTCTTTAGTCACACTAACCATGCCTCAGGTGTTCAGCATCCACATGTGGCCTGTGGCCACTGTATTGGACAGTCTGATTAAAACATGACCATCGTTGCAGAAAGTCCTATTGGACAGTGTTTAGTTAGAGAGTAGAAAGACAATATCTGCTTTTAGGAAGTTTATACTGTATGAGAGAAGGTAAGAGGCTAGAAACAGGAGAAACAAGGGGGAAAAAAAATGTTTGCAACTGAAGCAGGAAAAAAAAATGAAGAGTGTGTGTCATGTGACTGGGTGCAGAAGGCCTGCCCATGCAGGTGGCCAGGCACATGGCTTACTAGGTAATCTCCTCTGTGCAGAAATAAGGCTTAGTTCTTTCTTTTTTTGTCTCTGCTTCTATATCCAGTCTCTAATATTGTGCCTTGCTCCTAAGAGTCAGTGTTTATTTGTTGAATGCACTAGATAATGACTCTGTAGAATGATGTTTATTTTGAGGTTGAAGATCTTCCTCAAGATTCTGGTGGAGGCAAGGCTCTAATCCTAGAAGAATATATCTATTCATTTGTGTAGACCCTTAGAATGATTCCTGTCATCCAGAGGCTTCTGTATCTTGATATAAAAATACCCCTCTTGGATTATCTTTAGTATAGTGAGCAATGGGGAAAGGAAGTCCTTTTGTGCAAAGCAGGGAACCATTTCTTATATACCTCTTTGCTCTTTTCCCTGTCATACAAACACAAGGCAAGGCCAAAGCCAACATCTGATTGATCCTCTTAGTAAAGACTCAAGTAGCCACATTTAGATCCAGACAGTTTATTACTTACGTGGGCAGTGAGAGGTGGCAACTTCCCACCATCTTTGTCCTCCACAAAGTAAGGATGGCATCAAAACAAAAGGGGCTGTATACCTACCATGGCAGTTGTAGGGTGCTGCATTGCTGGGACTGCAGCTAAGAGGTTTCTTGTTCTGCAGCTCTATTGTAAGAAGGATGGGCAGGAAGTGTCAGACCTCATTCAAAACAAGAGACAATGCAAAGTTACCTTATGCCGGTCTGTCATGATAGGTAGGATGGGAGGCGAGACAGAGATGACCTGAGAGAAACACGTCACGAGCTTGTCCTCTCTTTCTGGATGATAAATCACAAGGTGTTATGCCAAGGCTCAGATTATCTGCAATCCTAACCATCCTGCTTATCCTATGTGCATATGTGCCAGCTTCCCAGCATCCCTTACTGTATTGTTTTTAAGTTGAGATGTAATTGACATATAACATGTTAGTTTCACATACAGAAAATAATGATCACCACAGTAAGTTAACATCCATCACCACACATAGTTACAAATATTTTTTTCTTGTGATGAGAATTTTTGAGATCTACTCTCTTAGCAGCTTTTAAATACACAATACAATATTATTGACTAAGTCCCCATGATATATACTGCATCTCCAGGACTTATTTATTTTATAACTGGAAATTCATACCTTTTGACCATATTTGCCCAACTTCTTCCACCTGCCACCCTCTCCCCCAACCCCCTCTTAGTTTTTAGTTTAGAGGTCAGTGTATGAGAGGCACTTCAGGGCATCAAGGGTCTTGCACTCTGGGAACCTCAGGAACTGTGTAGAGGATTTAAGAGGGACCAGAGAGGAGAACAATATAAGGCCCAAGGAAGAAAAGAAGTAGAGCAAGCAAAGATAAAGTAAACATACCTGAAATTTGAAATTTTCAAGGCCAGAAAGATGGCAAAAATCACGCAAGATATATTTGTCATACTACCTTTTTGATGTTGTCCATTAGCTATAACCCAGAGCTCTCACTAGTTTAAACCCATATGTGGTTTCCAAAGACTTACAAACAGTCCCATTTGCAGCAGACATCATTCTATTCAGTAGTAAGAGGTAAACAGATATGAACCAGCAATAAAGGAGACTCTAACATAAGCCTTACCGTAGAAAAATCTCTCAAATTATCAAATTATCAAGAGTCATCTGGTTCTTCTCCATTGCCATGTTGGTTCAACTGTCATAGTGAAACATCCAGAGTTTTCATGCATTTCATATTCTCACAGATTTAACACCATGTGGCCTGATTTGAAACAAAAATCTGATCATGAAATTGTCCAAGCTTAAGAGATTTCCTCAAATATATGGGATTTTATATTTGACGATGTCTTTTCAAGAACAACTTCTGTTGATATTTTTAGCCATCTTGCCTGTTTTCAAAGTTGCATGCATTAATTTTATTTTATTCATCTCATCATCATCCACCACTCTTGAATGGTTAACTGTAAATACAACAGCCTCCGCTCCTTCAGTTCGGATAGGTCGTACACCTTGAACAGAAGTTCCTATGCGCGGGACAGCATGATGATTGAAGAACTCCTTGTGCCATCCAAAGAGCAGGTATGCATTCTCCTTCAAATATTCTTGGATTGTTGAACTTTCACTGCTGTGATTGAATTGAGCTTTTTGTCCCATGACAAAAAACTGTATTTCTACATATTTGATTTAGCATTTGTAAAACTTCCTGTACTGCCAGGAAAAAAAGGAAAAAATCATTTGTGGGGGGAAAAAAAGAGGAAAAAAAAAAAAAAACAATTGTGCCATATACAGAAATAGCTGCTCTTCTGCAGATGAATCCTTAAAAGCCCACATAGAGGAACTCAGAAAGTCCTAGGAAAGACATGGCTACCTTTCTCCCTTCTAGGTCAAATCTATTTCAATTTTTTTTAAAGACTTAATAATGGGGGCAGCCCAGGTGGCTAAGCGGTTTAGTGCCGCCTTTGGCCCAGAGCCTGATCCTGGAGACCCGGGATCAAGTCCCACATCAGGCTCCCTGCATGGAGCTTGCTTCTGCCTCTGCCTGTGCCTCTGCCTCTCTCTCTCTGTCTGTCATGAATAAATAAATAAAATCTTTAATAAAAAAATAAAGAATTAATAATAATCAGTAGCTAAAACTGCTGGCATGATCCACATAGGTATTTGATTTTCCTAAATAAACTGTGAGTGCATGTTGGAATTTACTAGAATTGTTTTTAGCATGTAGTTAAAGACGAGATTGGTCAAGTTTTTGATCCCTTAGCATCAAAGCTGCTTGTGATGGGCCTTCTTAAGATGTGATAGTATTTTGTTTTCTACCAGAATCTCTGCTAGTGTTCATACAATTTCTTCTCTTCAGTAATTGTGGTTGAGTAGATACTGGTTTAAGGCAAGAAGTTCTAGCAACATAGTTCTGCTACATATGGGCTCAAGGTGGTTCATTATTCTAGATATACACAATACCTGGTTTTAAATTTGCACATTCGTGCGCTAATGATAGATGAAACTGTTTAGCCATAAAACCAATTTTGAAGGTGGCTTGTCATATTTAACCAATGTAAATAGTGAAATTATACTGCACCTATTTATTCACTGAACAATGAAGGTATTTTGGAGATGAATAAGTGATCGTAATAGTATCACTAAGTTAGAGGTCTAAGCAGCAGGTAGTCAGATTTTTGGGAGTCTCCTGTGTTTAGAGATGCTGACTTCCAGACACACAGATGTACCTTGTACTTCACAAGAACCAATAATAAATATTTTACTACTTAACACTCTAGAACATTCTTAGCAAGCAGATTTTACAGAGGTGAATACAGTGGCTATTCAGTGTTTGGCATAAACACTCTTTGTAGAATAATTATAGATGTGATACCATGTCATGGTTTAAATGGTTGTTAGCACTAGAGAAAGCACTTGTCTCAACTAATGAAGCTAAGCTCTTGGGTGTATTGCCCAGGTATTGGCTGAGATTTTCTGAGGAGCTCTCTCTCGGTTGGCTGTGGTCATTATCCTGGTTGGATAATCGTGATCTCTTCATGTTCCCAATTAAAATGAGATGTTAGTAGATATATTGGTGACACAAGTGTAGACATGCCTGTTATTCTCCAGGCCTAAGGAAACCCTACAAAACCTACAAAATCTCAGGTGATTGGAGATTCCTTGGGTATCAGTCACACTTTGGTCATACATAAAACATGTGCCCAGTTCTATAATGGAATCTCAGATACTTGATTGAATCTAATTGTGGCCTATGTTTCTGAATATATATTTACTTTGGGACAAGGGTCTGAAATTGGGACCATCAGCACCATGACCTCACCATCACTGCCACCATCACCACCACTCCCACTGCCGTAGTTAAACTACATTTCAATTTCTGCATGTCAACCTTAAATATAAGTGTTTGCCATGCTCCAATGCTGCAGACAGGCTTCCAAGGTTTCTCACACCATTACCTGTTAGCTACTGCCAAGACCCACTTACTCACGTAGGCTGGAAGGGACAGCTTTAATCAGAATAAAGGATTTATGAAAAGAAAGAAAGAGAACTTTAAACTAAGCCTGATTGCTGCTTAAATTTGAAAAGTACCTCTGTGGCTATCTCAAACATCTCTGTAGAGCAGTCAGGGGAAAGAAGAGCTTAGGACATCTTGAAACCTTTACAAATAAATCTCAAGTTGATAACTACGGAAGTAGGAAGTTGCTTTCTTCAACAACGGCAGAGGATCCCATGATCTGACAGGTGTTCCTTGTGGAACTGGCATGTTTAATGAACACATACAACTTCATGATCAATTCACCAGAGATGTGGGAAAAAAATGTATGAATGACATAAAGACATTTTAGGGACAATTGAGGACACTTGAAAATGAACCGGCTATATTGTTAGAGAATTATTTTGTTCTGTTAATAGTGACAACATTATTGAAGCTATATGGGGAATATCTCCATTCCAGGGGTGTGCAAGCTGTGGTTTCCAGCAATGGAGTAATCATTAAGTCAGCTATTTATTTTCAAATGGTTCAACCAAAAGAAGTATGTGTATATGGAGAGAGAGAGCTTGTGAGAATGTGAATATGGCAAAATGTCAATGTTGAATCTAGATGAAGTGTACACTGGTATTTCTTATACAGTTTTTTTTTTAATTTCTTTATTTGTTTGAACTCCTTCAAAATAAAAACTTGGAGGAAGGGGGAAAACAAATTCCAAAAGAGGCATGTTGACTTATTTAGTCTCTAGTATCTCATTTATTACGGAAGAGGGAAGAGGCTGATTCCTCCAGAGAGAGGCTGCACAAGGGAAGGGTCTAGTTACACTATGCAAGACTGATGAGAAGCATTTATTTTGGAAGTATGCTTAACATAAAGCACAGACTTCATATTAGAATTAAGTGACAAACATTATTAGTTTATATCCATCATGCCTCTAAATCTGTATTTATAAACTTCAAAACAGAGTTTCTCCACAGTATTGATATTGTCTGAAAGCATGCAAGAAGCCTTAAATATTTAGAATTCTTAAGGCAATGACACATGACTCACTGTCAAATTTAAAACTGCCCTGTCATTGTCCAGTTAAAGTTGCTTTGACACATAAAGGTGGAAAATGAATAAAAATTAATAACTCTCCATGTGCTGCTTGTTTTCAACAAGAGTAGACCACACTGATACAAAGCATAGTTGCCTCTTCATTATCATACTGCTGATTAATCAGTTTGCACATTAACCATAGTTAAAGGACAGTTGAGACTCAGGATAATTGGCACAGGCCTGCTGCTCCCAACTCCCATGTTCCTAAGAACCTATGCTGTGAAAGTAGGATTGGAGGCCAGAGCTGGGAAGGAATTTGGGAGAAATGAGCCCATCCTCATGCCCTGCTGAGCTGTAATCATTATCAGTCAGACACCTCCCACACACACACTGGAAAATCAAGAGTGGACTCTTTTTTTACTGTGATATTGGGTTATCCATGAACTCCCTATTCTTTTACCTTCCCTTTACCTTGTAATCAAGTCACCTGTAGATAGACCTCTGAAAATATGTATGTAGATATATTATGCCTTCCAATTGTTAGATGTTATCATGTTATCATTTAAAGCAGTGACTCTCAGCCCTGACTGCTCATGAGAATCATTTTAAAGAATTTTTAAAACATGATTGCTCATCATATGATTTCACTCACATGTAGAATTTAAGAAACAAAACAAGGGAAAAGAGAGATGGACACAAACCAAGACACAGACTCTTAATTATAGAGAACTGATGGTTATCAAAGGGGAGGTGAGGTGGAGGGCTAAGTATGTGATGGGTTAGGTAGGGGTTAAGGAGTGTGCTGTCAGGTGATGAGCACTGGGTGATGTGTAGTAGTACTGAATGGCTATATCACACCTGAAACTAACATAAGGCAGTATTTTAATTAACTGGAATTAGGATAAAAACTTTAAAACAAACAAATAAGTGCAATTGCTCAGTGGCTAATTGCCTGATTCCGGGGATCCCTGGGTGGCTCAGCAGTTTGGCGCCTGCCTTTGGCCCAGGGCACGATCCTGGAGTCCCAGGATCGAGTCCCGCATCGGGCTCCCTGCATGGAGCCTGCTTCTCCCTCTGCCTATATCTCTGCCTCTCTCTCTCTCTGTCTATCATGAATAAATAAATAAAATCTTTAAAAAAAAAAATGAAAACCCCTGATTCCTAGTCAGACTTGTTAACTGGGAGAAGGGGTGTCTGACTGGCTCAGTTGGAAGAGCATGTGACTCTTGATCTCTGGGCCATGAGTTTGAGCCCCACCTTGGGTGTAGAGATTCCTTGAATTCTTAATTGGGGCACACACTGGAATCACCAGTGGTCGTTTGAAAACCAAGATGCCTACAGAATCAGAATCTCCCTGGCTGGGTTCCTGAGCACATGTGTTTTTTTAAAGCTCCACAGGTGATTCTGGGATGCATCTCTGGCTAGGAACCATTGATTTAAAGCAACTCTGGCTGGGATTTTTTGTATATCGATCATTCAACATCTAATGTTTTTGTTTTATAAGCTCAGATATGTGGGTATCAGATTGTCTTAGAACAACATCTGTGCTTGGAAACATTCTTTTCCAAATAGAAAGTAACAGAGACAAGGGATGATTCCAAACTGAAGCCAAGTTGTCTAGGATGAATAGAATAGAATGGTTCTTTCATTTCTTCTGACATAATTATTGAAAGCACTTGTCTGGTATGGCTTGTATAATTACTCTGTATGATCCACGCCAGCCAGTCCTCATTACATAAATGGAATAATATTCAGTAGACACTGTGTCAGGAGGTGTGATAATGCTTATGGTGATAGTGGTGAAAACATTTTGAGCTCCTACTATGTGCAAGACACTATCCCAAGTGTTTTACCAGTACAAACTCATTTACATTTCACAAAAACCCTTTGAGATAGTTTCTTGGCTCCATTAAAAAGATGAAGAAACTGAGGCACAGTCAGCTTAAGTAACTCACCTCAGAGGACACAGGTAAATGGCAGAGTCACTGGCCATGTGGCTCCAGGCTGTTTCCTTAGAGGCTGTACATCTGCATTGCTCTGTGTCAGAAAGAAG